GATTTCAAGCGAGGCTCTTTCATGCTGTCAGTGTTGCTCATACTGGTACGCTGATATGCTTATTACATTTGAGAAAGTTTGAGAGGGAAACCTCAAATTCATTCATGTCGTTGCTTTTTAGTACGAGACGGTTTGCAATATTCGAACAAAAGGATGAATGCTCTTCATATTTTCTCTACCAAGCTGTCTGCCTCCCCATCTGTTCGCTGAGAGCATCAAGTAGGGAAGAAGAAAGCAGACTCCTGCCGACAGACCGGCACAGTGATGTTGTTGCGTTTTATTGCATGATGGACCGGTCTTATCGGCGACCATTCTGGTAAAGCTGACAGCAGGGAGGGGAGGGGATCTGATATGGGTTTTTGTTTTGATTTCCTCAGACTTCTTATCTGTGAGTGAGTTGGGTGGAATCCAGACTCAGACGCAACGTCCAGAGAAGAGACGACACGATTTCAGGTTATCAGCTCCGCTCAGTCACGCGTGACCCACCTTTGGCACCAGCTCTTGCATTTTTGCATTGACATCATGGTTACCTCCCCAAACTGTATTTTGATAAGTTTATCCACGATGATACTTATTTTTTATTGTTCACTGTTTGTGTAATGAGTGTAGTTTCCTGTCTCCTTAGCAATTTAAAGCGATTTATAAAATACACTTTTTTGCTTTCTTGTTGATGATTAGATGAGAAGAAACACACTCTACTCATGTTTGTTAAGTTCAGTTTTCAGAGCATTTATAATGGCTGAAACTGGCAAATGCATTGCAATATCCCAAAACGTTTCCATTCAGAAAAACACATTTACCAAATAAATCAAATAAAAAAACCACGAAGCAATCGTGGAAACATACTGCAAAATGAAGAAAGAAACCAAAAACAAATAGATTTTCAGAAAGGATAGGACAAATGCAGAAAAACTAGAATGGCACAAAGTAGAGTGCATACCTCTGCCAAGACCCAACAGTAAAATTCTATCAAGCTGTACCAAATTTCCCCACACGCAATTCCTGGGAAAACAGTTGAAATGTTAAAAAACGTTTTATACCACAATGTTAAAGAAAGTAAAAAGAAAAATCCCTCGCCCTCTGATCTGGATCCTCATAATTTAATGGCTCATTTTGACCCTTCCACTGTGTTTTATTTAAATCGCCCTGTAGCTATTGTGTCATACTGCTAACAAACAAACAGACAACACAATGTCCTTTGCCGAGGTAATCACAATCACTTTATTGGTTTCCTAAGTCAGAGGGGTCAGAAACCTGCGGTAATTTGCAGACAGGTATTTGAATCATAACATCTCGAGTCCCTCAGTCACAAATTAAAGTAAGAAACATTAAGAAAGAGGAGGAGAGTATTTTGGTTGGTATATACATCCCCTACGGAGCGACTGTGAGGTTCTATTATCTGCTGTATTCAGAGGCCCACATCATGAGCTTCACGTTGCATAAACCAATAACTCTCACCTCTGTGTGTAAACCGTTTTAAAGCAATATTTACAACTGCGTCTCCAAAAGAGGATAATTTATTTTGGATGACTTTAAAGAGTGTTTACCAGGCTTCCTGTCAGAGAGGCTGTCACACATGAGAAGACTGTTTACCAGAGCCGAGAAGGCTCTTCAGCACTATATACGGCATCAGTGAATGGATTCATCATTAGATAAAACTATTAATAGTGCTTCATAATAAATCTCCTACGTCCTCTAGTCAGAAAGAGGATGTTTCGCCTCGAGTGCCTGGTACGACTGATAACATATACACTCCAATAAAACTGGATGGAACTTTAAAAATATGTCTGACACCACTAATCATCAAGTTGAGTTCAAGGAATACCCATATCCTGCATATTTCAGCTTTCCCTGAGGAGAGTAACAGTCATTTCTCAAAGGGGAGAAGACTAATTCTCACACTTAAAACAGAGCCCATCCATCTCCCACTATCAGCACATGCCTCGCTTGTAGCAGCAAAAGCAAAACAGCTCGTCATGATCCAGGATGACCTCATATTCAGTGAAACAGTATGGGAATATTCGCTTCATATCATAACCTGGCTCTGAGAGTGTGTCTTGTTTTTTCCCTCTTTGGGTCACAGATGAGCTTCACGGAGAAATCCTTAGACTCAAACCACCAATATAACGGATTTAGCCACGATTTGCATGAATGGCTTTTGAGATTTTTAAATGCTACCTCTTCTATTCTGTAGATGATTGATGGGCCCTGATATGAGCAAAGTTTTCTCCTGCATTTATCCCAAGCCTGTCGGTCTGGGGTTTCTACAGAGTTTGCCTTTCACATATGGTCAGATTCGTTCACGACAACACAGAAATCTTGTGACATGTGTTGCAACGTGCAGGGGACAGGACATCACGTCTTGATTCCACCATGAAGATCACATGTTTTTGTTACTGCACACTAACACCCTTATCACTAAGTCATTGAGGGGCCTGCAGGAGAAAACTCAGAAGAAAGTCTCGAGCCTTTGACCATTTGTGTTTTCAAATACAGCCCCTCTCAGACTATCTGGAGTTTAGTGTTTGTCTGATAGCAGCTTTTGAAAGACAGTTGGTGCTTCTGTTTGTTTATGCCAAGTGTTCCATGGAGATGTGACACTTCACTGGTGCTGTGGCTTTCCCTCATAAGTTATTGTTCAGGGAAAAGATGAGTAATTGTCATTACGATCCAAAGTCAAGTGTTTTCTTTTATGTCTGCCTGGTATTTTCATCCAAGCACAAATGCAGATCTGTTTTATCGTAGTTGTTCATCAGGAGAGATAAAGCAGGTCTGATCTGACCCGAGACCAGACAAGATAAGAGTCAGAGTTGGAGGGAGGAGGTTCAATCCAAGCTGAGGAGCCTCCCACTCTGCCATTAGTACACGAGGAGAGATTGTGTTACATGCAGATACAAGAGGAGCATCTGAAGTAGCGGTGTCCTCCTCTTAGAAGTTGTGATGTCCTCCTCGCTTTCTGTGGAGCATTCCACACACACCGGGTCCAGGGAGCGGCCCGAGTCAGACGATCCTCTTACTCTCTCACACGCCGCCGACGGGGCTGTCGTCAGAGGGTTTTACCAGCGGTGTCTGTGAAACCTGAGAGCTGCTGGACAGGCTTTACGCTGGGAGGGGGGAGAGGTGAGGGAGAGTTAGGCCCCGTTGAGGAGGTAATGCACACCCTACGTAGTGGGCAAACTGTGGCTTGGTGGATAGCCACAGGGCTGCCGGAGTGTGAGGAAAGCCAACCTCTAAGAGGATCAGATTTCCTCACAACTTGTTGCCCGATGCTATATAAACTCTGGCATGCGGTGTTGACACCTGATCTGGACTAAAAGGGCCGCTGGAGAGATTCTCTGCACCCTCCGTGTCCCCTGCTCTTTCAAGTCCTCTGCCCCTGATACTCTTGCCCAGACCCACTCGCTGGCACAGTCACCCTCCACGTGGGGCCCCCGTTGAACCTCGCCCTCCCAGCTCTCACTCAGTCTCAGTCATCACTGCCCTGCTAATGAGGCTCTCACGGGACAGTGTGCCACAACTAAAGGGACACTGCGGGCCCAGGGAGTTCCCTTTAGCTCCTGTCAACAGGAAACCTTTGTCATCGAGTCAACTTTAATGTGTTCCGATGTGTGACACCTGTCCATCAGCCCCGCCAAACCACTCCACATCTAAACCTAAAGAGATTAGCTTTCATATTTGAAGTGGACATTTAAAGGGCACTCCACCAATTGTGCTCATTAGGTTCAGTTTATTTGCCAGGTAGAGCATGACTGAAAAAACTGTTGTATAATGTATTTTTTGGCTCTGAGGGGAGTCTGAGAAAATAGATAACGTTGATAATCATCATCAGGGGGATTAGATCGCATTATGGGAAGTGTAGGATCTGTCTTTTGAGCTTGACCCATCGTCCCAAGGATGATCAGTATAGCTTCTTGACATCTGGTGCATAAGTCTCTCACATGCACATCAGGATGTATAACACTAAAAGTTAAATTATGGGAGTTGAAACCTTAAATAAGATGGTGGTGAGAGTGCAACACCCCGTTATGTCTTTATGTGTTTCCTTTGGTTAGATTGCATCGAGGGGTTAAGACCACTTATTCAAGTGGTCAGTGCACTGTAACATATTAGTGTTAATGTTTGTTATGAATGTATTATCTTAATGTGTTCATACCACATTATTTATTGGTAGACTCAAGTTATCAATATGATTGTTGACCTAGAAAAAACTTAATCCTAGCACAGTACAACTGCAGATTTATGTATTGATTTGATGAGTTTAATTCATTATTATCGTGAAAGATGAAGATTTTCTTTGTGACTCTGCAAATGTACAGTAAATGCATCACTAATGCAAACAAGCAGCTGAATTAACCAAAGCCATTAAAAAGCTTGACTGCCATTACAGCAGTAAACAATTCACACTTGACAGTTGCCCCAGCCCTGGATGTAGTAATGAGGGCTGCAAGCATCAATTATTCAACTTTATCGAGCAGGATGTGAGTTTTCTTCTCCTCTAACATCATAAACCTGATGATCTGGCAGCTTCTGAAAGAGGTCCACAGCCAGCCATGAATTTATCATACCCGGGACGTTTACAGATCGATATCACACACTTCTGTGCAGATCGAGCTAATGCCATGTGCATCGCTGACTGAGCATTGTGAGCCCTGAGAGAGGGACGGTGGATGAGGGATAGAGTGCAAAGAGGAGCAATACATGGCTTCAGGCTGGACTAAATCCAGATGTGTAATCTGATTGTCTTTATATGCATGGAAGTCCTAAACGTAGAGACATGAACTCTGGGGAAATATCAAGAATATTGGGAGGAAACGTTTCCAGAAAATAGCATCTGACTCAAACATTTGCATTTTTACCCCTTTGGATGATTTCAGTATATGTCTGAAAGCAGCTGTGGTAGTACAGACACAATGTGAAAATATTTTTTACTGAGCTCAAACAGTTAATTTAATTTATGTTGAGAAACTCAGAGTATCAGCGTGAATGAAATTTGTTAATGAAACAGATCAGAGGGAAATGACCTCGCCCGATGTGACGTAACTTTCTGAATGGTTCAATTCCATTTGTGTGTTTGCAGCTTTGGATTTGAATCACACTGCTCTGCGCTGCAGAGGCCCCTGGCTGCTGTGTCAGTGTCAACTCGAACAATCCTGCCTGTGACCTCCAAGATGCCTTACGCTCAATGGAGAGTCACTTCAGTTGAGGATTAGGACTGGGTGTAGACAGAGAATTCACAAACAGGGGAGAGCTCTTTATGTTTCAGCGAGCGGGGAAATGGACAACGACCAAATATTTCTGTGAAAGCTGCAAAGAAACAGAACAAGAGGGGGAAAAAGAGAGTAAAAACAGCAGAGGGCCCCTTTTTTCTGCACTCAGGGTGTTGTTTGTGTTGTTGACAGGCCTTTTAACCTCCCCAAACTCATTCTGTGGGGTCTCTCTGGGAGCTCACTTTGGGTTTGTAGCCCGTGGAGTCTCCATTCAGGCTGTATCCAGTTGCATTATTTATGAGTGCTGCGGCTGTTGTTCTGACTCCATTATTGAGATTGTTGATACCTCATCATGGAACAAAAATAATGAGGGGACAATAAATTTAAGTGCTGTCAGCAGCCACTTGAGTGAACAACATGTCAGGTTTCTCTCCCCCAGATTCAGATGACATCAGATCTTTCTCTGCGTGTGATATGTTTTCCTTTTGGACAGGTCCAATGGATTGGCCTCCAGGCCCATTTCACACCGGATTAGTTTCCATTTCAAGCCCCGTACCAACCCCCTCCTCCTATATTGAAGACATGAACTAAGGTTAAGTCCTCAGAAAGTCTTTTTCATCTTTTGTCATGGGTCTAAAAGCAATGTGACAGAAGTTTGCTTTTGGGGCATAAATTACGATGGGTTTGACCAAAAACAGACTCTAATCCAAATGTGTGAAAATGGATCACAGAGATGATTGTGCTTGAAATGTTGAATAAACTGGCACAAGATTCAACCTCATCGCATCCTAAACCTTCATTGCTGCAAGTAAACTGGTCACAATACTCATACGACTGCCATCGTGCAGCTCAGCACGTCGCTCTCTCCTTTGTGTCAACACACTCCGTCTCACACTAAGAGTATACACAGGTTAACAAACACGTGCAAGCACATGTCTAAATACGCATTGGAGAATATATACACACACATGCACATTCCTGCTTTACTGTGCAAAGAGAAGTCCAGAACATTTCCCGTATGGGAAGTGTTTTTTAGTCGACAGCTGTACATGTATGAGCCGCCGTCAGCGAGCGTACTTCCAGATGTGAACAGGGCAGGCACAGGGCAGCTCCTCGCTCTCCATCGACACACACGCACCAGAACAAAATGGGTGTTTGCATCGCAGGAAATCATAACAGGAAAGGAAGAAGGGGTAGCGCGTTATCCCGGCCGAGGGAAAGTTCCAGCGTATCTCAGACTGTGGACAGACACCTCATTAACATCTGTCCACGTAGCATCTGTAAATGACAGAGAATCATTACAGTCACCCGGTCATCTGACCGCAACCTAGCGGTAATGACATAACTGCAATGCCAAAAAAAAGGGTAGAGAGAATTCAAAGCATTATATCATGCTGAATTAAATGAGAGTATGTATATAATCATGTTAACTTGATAGCATTGTTATAACTCCTACATTCACTTCTTATAATCACTCTGTTATCAATTATCTGTTTATCCCACTGCTGAATCAGTTTTAGCTCTTGTCCTGTAGCACCTCATCACTATAAACCTCCATTCACACTACATTAGCCAAAGCTCAATGAGGCCTGTTAGGGGGTAAACCCACTCCTGCTCTGACCCCCTGACTTCACGCATCCCTCACACTGTGTCACTTTTTTTGCAGTGCACGCCAAAGTGCTATAAAACAGTCACCTCGGAGATACCTCGGACATGTGTTTCTTACATCAGCTGTGATCTTTTTCACGTTTATGATGATGTTGATTTATTCTTTTATAAAGCTCACCTAAATACTTCTGTTAAGTTTGGTTGTAATTATTATTTGATGGTATAAGAATGGGGTGAAACATCATGATTGACAGCTCAGACTGACTGGTGAATGGTCGAGTGTTTTGGCAGGACCTTGATAGCATCGCTCCACAATACAATCACTCTGGCTCCAAACTCATAGTTAACTATTAGTTAAAGGGATAGTTCTCCTAAAAATGAAAATTCACTCATTATCAAATCAGCACTCTGCCGATGGGGAGGTGGGGGAAGTGAAAGGGAGTCCACAAAACCGTTCTAGAGTTTCAGCCAAATCCTATACAATTGAAGTAAATGGTGACTAAATCTTTAAAACGTAAAAAAATACAAAATGCCAGCATTCCGCTTCTGTGGTGTCATCCAATGCAGTTACAGCAGCAGTAACTAGGACGAGGCTTAAGGACACTTGGATGACACCACAGGAGCGGAATGGATCTAAAAAATTGATCACCAGTTACTTCAGTTGTATTGGATTTGGTTCAAACTCCAAAAGTGTTTTGTAGACTTAAACACTTCACCCACCCCTCCATCGGCATAGTGCTGCGTAGATAATGAGAAGATTTTAATTCATGTAATATGTGCAACTTCTTGGCAGTTTATTGTCACTTTGTATAAAAGTGTATCAGCAGACACCAGCCCTGTATCCAAATCAGCATCAGTCTCAGAGCAGTAATAATTGAGGGGGCACAGTTCTCATTAAAAGTGGTTTTGCTCTGGGGGCTGTCCACGGTGGTGCCAGTAGGGACGTCAGTAACAACCGTGAGGACCCTCTCAGTCTAGCTCTCCTGCAGAGTGGCATGTGGATGACTGTGCCACAAAAGCCCAGGGGTTCCTGCCGGCCAGCCTGGCTTCATTAGCGGAGTTAACCTTCAAAATGTGCCGCTGCCTCGCGCTCTGCCCTCAGGTCTGTTATGGCTGAGAGGAAGTTGGAGCAGGACTTGTGTCAAATATACTGTCAACGAGCTAAACAGGAACAGGCTGGACACAGACAAGTGGCAGATGAGAGTCCCGCTGGGCAGAGAGAGGATTGCTAAACATTACAGGAAGTTAAGACGCTTGGTCTTTCAAGTAAAACTCTCTCCCGTCTGCAAGAAGATATATTAAAGTTACTTTAATTTGATAAATTGCAACCAGGAAATTAACTGAATGAATACTAAACACAATGTAGCTGTGGCAATGACACACCCTCTGCTGAGTGAGGGGTATATACAGGACGTCTGTGTAAGGTAACGTACCAACAGTCTCTGATCATGGTTTCATGGTGCAATTTTTGAATTAGCCGACACGGGATCCAAAAGCCATTTGCAGTATGGTATGGATGATATCACTACATGAAAGAAGAAAATCGCTCTCATCTTTGGATTAAATATATTTAGCAATCATGATTCCTCCTCTGCATCTTGCACTGGTTTACCTTTCCCTGAAGACCCCACTTTGACTCCGACACTCGGGAAGTATTATGTGACCTGAGACTAATTCAAAGAAGCTGTGGAATTTGTCAACATGGATCTGTATTGATGCCAAATGATAGCTGCTGGTCTGAAACCAGTCCTTTGGAGTCTCATTTCATTAAATACAAAGAAAACCAGCACTGAATAAAAGCCAGTACCAATTCACAGCCCACATTTTTAAAATATTGATTTCCACCACATTTCAGTTTAAAGACAGCACATCTTTGTGCCGCTGAGATCAGTCTGTGCTCATCTGGACAAACTTAAATGGAAAATGAAGTGAGACCTGAGGTGAGGCCGGCTCACCCAGGTGTCACACCTTTGTTTCCTTAATTTCCTCTGCAGCAGCCTCGTGTGCTCTGTGTGAGGCTGTTTCACGCCTCCCCCTCCCTCCACCAGCCAGAGGCTTGATGGGGTCCAGATGAGACCCACATCCAACGCAGGACCACGAGAGAAGATGGAGACTCCGATGGTTCCATTAAACTGCTCTAAGTTACTCTCAGATCTGATTTCTGAAATGGAGGCACATGTTGTACCGTGGACTTACTGTTTTATTGTACTGAAAAGAGGTTTGGTTGAAATGTGTAGTTAAAGCAACATGGATATAAATACATTCCTTTTTTTCATTCAGTTCATTCAACCTTTTATAATTCATCATTTTCAAATCAATTGTGATAAATTAGTGTGAAGCACGTAAACAAGACATTTTATTCACCCGTACAACTTCCCAGTGCCGATCAGAGACACTCCTACCTGTTTTGTTTTCGACACAGGACATGTTGGACATGCTTAAAGTTCACTCACAGGCCATGTGAATTCTTGCAGGCTCAGGCCTCAGCATCCTTGGGAGGCTCTTATTGACAGCCTGTTGAACAGGATTAGAGATACACAGTTGTGGCTAATTGCTCTTAATTCCTGTGTGCTCATTATGTGTGTCTAAAGCTATTGCATCAGCAAAATGGATCCCATGACGAAAAGTCATTTTACAGGCCTGAGGCTTATCCAATGCAGCAGGGAGAAATGCCCTCCTGATTTATCCAATTATCTTTTCTTGTTGAGATATTTCTCATAAACCTCCAGTTAAAGCTGTGACACAAGGAGAATGTGGCAGCACAAGTCTTGTGCAAGCAAATGTAATAAAAAGGTCAAGTCATTCAAATTCCATAAATCCATTGTTTTCTTGCTTTCAGTACAAGTTTTATCTCATTAACTTAAATCTTACTTATAGAGCTTTAAGGAAATCTACATGTAAGATTTCTGCAGTAAACCCGTTACAATGAATGGAATTTCATCTGTGGTTAAAATACTACACAAAAAACACTAAACAGCAGCATGTCTGCAGACAATGGTCCGGTTACTCAGCACAAACCACCGACCACAATGTGAACGGCTTTTGTTGGAACTACTTTAGACAGTGAGAAAATGTTCACAGCAAAGTTTCAGCATGTGCAGGTGGACCTAAAATGCAGAAGCAAGGTTCAGGTAACGAAACGAAAAGTGAATTTTAATTACAGCAAAGGTACTTACAGAAAACAAGGTTCCAAAAAAACATAGTCCCAAAAACTTCCACAAACTGGAAACCAGAAACGACTGCAAAAAAGGCTAAATTAAAAAAAAAACACATTAGGAACAAGAAGACACTGAAAACATGAAAGACGACAAACTGAAGAGCAGATTGATAACGACAGGGAGACAGGATGATGGAACACAGGTGAGACTCATGAAGAACAGGTGCAGACGATCACAAGGGCGGGAAACAGGACAAAGGCAGGAAGTAAAGCTACAGAGACACAAGGAGCAACATTTCTAAATAAAACAGGAAACTGAGAACAACCAAACACAAACAAGCAGTAAGCAAAAGTGTGTCCAACCAAAATCCAAAAACTCTTTGACATTACACAGCAGGGATTTTCTTTTTCATCATTTTAATATAATGTTTCAGCTAATTAATGCTGATTTACAGAAATCTCTCGTTTGAATTAATTTCTTATGTAATAATCTTATGTTTTGCTCATCACCTGTAAAGTTCTTTGAATTCCATTTTGACTATTTTAAAAGTACTATATAAATAAAGTTTGATTGATTTAACGATTGATTGATTGATGGGCAGTTATGTATTTTCTGTCTTGTGTGGACCTTTATATAGTTTTTAAAATGTTAAGTGAGTCAGCTCTTTAGGTTAATGCACGGAGGCAGAGCTGTGCACGTGTCCTTGTTGTAGGTGCATGCATGTTGTGACACTTGTTGACCCTCTCAGTGTTGTGTTTGGCACCTGATGCACAGAGAAACCTAATCCCGTGTTGTTCTTTGAATTGACCTGGAAAAAAGAAAATTACCTGATTCCTTTAGACCAAACATTTCTAAGCCATTGTATTAACTGTTTGCAGCAGCTCAGTGTAAATGAATTATTAATTTGGCTGTTCAGCTTCTCCTACACTATATCCAACACATCAGCTTATTACCCAACACCTCAAAGCAGCTCAGATAACTGCTTTTTTCTCTTCTCTGAAATCATATCAGCACCTATAGTATTATGTCGTCCACCTTTATCACCACTGTCTCCAGTATCAAAGCTCACGTTGTGATTGAGCACCCAGAGAATCCAGGTAGATTTCTAAAGCAGACGAGGGGAGAGATAAAAAGTGCTGATAATTAATGGCTGTCACGGGATACGGAGTGGATGCAGAGAGCGATTACACATGACATATAAATTGCTGTGTAATTTCAGACGCTCTGGGCGTTTTCTGTCGGAGCAGGTCTCCTCTTGTACCGTCTGACAGATGATATTCAAATGGAAGTCGAGGCCAAAGGGATAGCATGCCATTGTTGAACCACTTGATATGCCAAGGACATATAAATAATATGGTCCGGGCCACATTGCAGAACAGCAGATCAAACACCTTCTAGGATTTCAGGAGAACACAGTGTAACACAAAACAAACTCTTAGAAAAGACTCTTAGACAAGACTCTTAGAAAAGACTCCACTGTGTAGTATCAGGTCAGGAAGTATTCATTAAGTGATCTCTTTAATATTGGCAGATGATTTAGTTACCAAAAGAGAAACAACAATCATTTGTTTAGAGTTATTTGAAGGAAACAACGCGTCTCTCCCACTGGCGTCTCTCCCACTGGCGTCTCTCCCACTGGCAGCATTGTTAACAACGTTTGACACTGGTGGAAGCAACACAATCTTGTTAGAGGGCAGTCATGGTCACTGATTAGTCAAATATGCCCACAAGGAGACCTCGTCAAGTTTCTGTGTTTGATTTACGCGTGGACAGCTGCAGAGGTGACAAACACACACACACGCACGCACACACACGCACACACACACACACACACACACACACACACACACACACACACACACACATCAGCTAGGCCTAACACAAAGGTGCGGCTGCCTTTTCTGGCTCTGTGATCACTCCTCTGCAGTAGGAACCCCAGATACAGTCTCATGGCCTCTGAAGGTGATTAGGTTCATGTCAATCTGAAGACACTAGCGTCATAGCTTGTTGGAGATGACCCAGGCAAACAACAAACTTATGAACTTTGAGTCGCAATCTTTGAGAAAAATGAATTTGTCTTTACTTTGATTTGTTATGTTTTTATGTAGGTTTATCACCAATACTGCAGTCAGCCACCAGGGGGAAATAAAGATGTGTTGGCTTCGCTTATGAAGGGAGGTCATGTCATCCATATTTATATAGTGTCTATGGGATCAGCCCATCACTTCCTGTTGCTATCTAGTTAATTTCTGTTTAGCACTATTCGGTCTATGCAGCCGACGTCAGCTGCATCCTCTAACGGCTGTGTGAACCGCGTCGGCCAAACCAAAATGAGACGTTCTGGTCTACCTATTGCGTCACCAGCTTGTCCCACCATTACAGCTGTTGCCTAGTAACATAACTACAAATGAAAATGTTTTTGTTCTTTATATATTATATTTTCGTCACACTTTGTGCCGCCATTACTTCTTTGAAAAACAGTTTGTCACGGAAGCGCAATGAATCATGGGATATGTTGGGCTGGGAAGGATCCACCCGGTGGAGACTTCGTTGCTTGGGGCTGGAAGGACACGTGTCCGCCACATTTGGAGGAGCCTTTGAAATGTGTCGCTGTAAAGCAATGATTCTACGAATGCAGCCACTGAAGGATGAGGCCCCTGAATTGAGTCACAGCTTCTGTCTGTGTACAACCTCAACACATGGAACCACTGACACACATCGATATCAGAAAAATACTTATATATACAGATAGTTTCTCACGGCTCGAAAACCTCCTACCATCCATTCAACATTACCTATAGAGCAATTGACAAAATGCAAACAATACATGATTTCAACACAAGGGAAAAGACAGATGTGGGCTGCTGATGTCTTTATGTGACAGAGACATTCTGTTGAACAAACGCAAGCTCATAAATCTTTCAATGTTCCAACATGTGCACGGCTGAAGCATAATCCTGCATCTTAATCTAATCATACTGCAGTATCCAGGCAGCCCAGATTTAAACTTTCATAACAGATTCTCATGCACGGTATGATGGATGCAGCTTGACACTTTGCTGGGATCGTATTTTCTGTTGTTCATGAAATCGACATAAAGACATGTTACATGAGATCAGGTCAAGATGAAGCGAAATGCCTTGCACTGCATCACAGTTTTACGACCGAAAAACCACAAAGTAAAGCAAACGGATGAAAAAGGTCTTTCATAACCCTTTTGTACATGACTGAAGCGTTTGCACGGTCGATCAATCTGAAGTGCAGAAAGAAACATTTTAATACCAACATAACATAATCCGTTAAGTAGGTATTATTACCAACCTACATCTTGGGTTATCTCTGCCCTCTGGTCAGGCTTCCTACAGAGACAAGAGCAGGAGAAACGGGGTCATTACCGTCCATGTTACCGCTCCTGCAGGCATCATTCAGGCCCAGGTAAATAACATCAGTCCTTCCAGGCTCAGAGCTGTCAGGCTCTTAACACAGGTAGAGGCAGGACCCTGACAGGACCACCCAACCTGAAATGCGATGCAGGGTGAACTCTATGTGTCGTATAGGGATGTACACCCTCCCCGTCTTTCGTCTCCTCTTTATGACATTTCAGTGCGGAAGGATGCACCAATCTGACAGAAGAGAGCCTCAAAGAAAATATGGAGGGGAAAGGAGGCCAGAGTCACAGCAGTGTTGACATTTATTAAGAAGTGAGAGAAGTAAGAGCTGCAAAAAGGCTTTGAAAAAGTCTGACATTTCAAAGATAAGAGTCTGGAATCAGATGCAAAGGAGCAGAGGGAAGTTGAAAGAAGATCTCAGCGAACTTACCAGACGTGTTGAGACGGTCAAAGAAGGAGAAGAGGAGCAAACAGAAATGACTCAGAGGATGAGGATTTATCTACGGACGACCGATCATCATGAACAATTTGAATTTGTTGTTAACCTTTATTAATTTGACATTAACAGGAACTGATTGGTCTCTGGCTCAACAGCCCAACCAACACAGCAGCAGAGAAGAGTGTTAAAGAAAAGAACCAAGAAAGCATTCAGAGACTGCTGCTGGATTATTCATCAGTATCACAAACCATAGTCACTATATTAATTTATTCTTTATATAAGGTTATACAGCAGTTAGAATTTATCAAGTGAAACAGATTACTGTTCATTTGATTCACTGAAAACTTTAGAAACTTTAGAGCAACTGAATCGTCTGGATAATTTCAGGAGAATATCCAGATTTCAGAGCTTGTCTGAAAGCAGCTTTAGAAACGTAAACTGAGCCCAGCAACTAATCGAATAATCAAAGCCAAGATCAAACTGATATTGTCTGATTTCAGATTTCATTATTTTCATGACTTTAAAAGAAAAATCTTCTGTAAATCTTTGATTCATATCATCCTCATAATGGATAAATTATTAAAACATTAAAAAAAAGCTTTTGTGAGAATATTTCTTTCATGAACCTGTGAAATTCTCAGGAAACAACACCTCTGCTCATGTGCAGATGCGCTGCCACACTTGAGGCTTAACAGGCTCCCATTAAAAGACACTCACATTAAAGCACTTCTCTCTCCGCTCTCAAGCCTGCGCTGCATTCAGGGACCGACTTCCCCAAATGGCCATGTTGTTGTCAGTGCTCTCTCCTGGGAGGTGTAGATGTCTCAGGCTGAGGCTTTCGCAGCGATCACTTAATGTGTGAGGCACATACGAGAGTGAGAGAGAGAAACAGAGAATACAAGGGATGCAAATCATTTTAAATGTAAAGTTCTTTAGATTCACTTTAATGAACTTGAAAATTACTGATGTATGGACGCTTTATATCTCATCTGATGCTTTACATTCTTGGTATCATGTGCAGTTTAAAGTCTTTTTCTCATTTTGTCACTCACAGGGCCTGAAAACACTTGATCAAGCAGCAGACAAATGACATTTACAAGATTTTATTTCTGATGCAGTCTGACTTGTGCATAAAAATCATTTTTCTTTCAATTACAGTCATTCAATCTTTTGCATTTCGCTGATGTCAAGATACAATTGCAGCTGATGGCTTCTCTTTACCTCCGCTGAGGACGTTATGTTTTTTATCCCTGTCTGTTTGTTTTTAAGCAAGATTGTGTGAAAACTACTGGACAGATAAACACCAACCTTGGTGAAATTATTTCACTCTT